TCATCTTATCATACCTTCACTATTATAATTTTTACCGTGTTTATTTAGATATAGTGTGGTGTGCTCCTTTGAGCGACATGAAACCTTCACACTCAAACTGTCGTTCTCACCCCCACATTCATCCTTGTGCTGGAAATGTTGACCAGAGTCTGTCATATTGTTACTTAGTCCTATCAGTCTCCATCTTGCTCCGTAAAATCCGTCTGCCCTACCCCTTGTATACCTAATTCACTCGACTCCTGCCACCACATCTGCCCTACTTGAGGCGTTATTCGCCCTCCCCAGCGTCTGGGTGACTAATTCGAGGCGCAAGCCTCTGAGTGTCATGTCACCCTTTTGCTACATGTACCACGTCTCTGGTACAACAGACCTACAGTCAGCCAACTAGCTCCGGTCCCCACCATCTCTATCCTGTTTCTATCCCTAATACCAAGTCTATGATCTGCCATACCCTAGTCTCTTGTGTGCCAACCCACAAATGTTGTGGTACAGCTTGTTTTGATTTGGCTCAATGTTGAACTACAACATTTGTGGGTTGGCACACAAGAAACTAGCATAGGAAGTAATAGACTTGGCATTATAGATAGAAAGAGGATAAAAATAGTGGAAGCTAGAGCTGGTTGGCTAACAATAGTCGTGATTCAAGGATCACGTTTATGATCAAACACGCCAATTGTTAGCCAAACAGCTTTAGTCTCCATCTCATCTTTCCTGTTTCTATCTATAATACCATTACTATCACTTCCCATGTCCTAGTCTCTTGTGTGCCAACCCATAAATGTCGTGGTTCTACTTGTTATGATAAGGCTCACTGAAGACGTATCCTCTTTGCTTCTGATTCTATCTTTCTCATCCCCATTCGATCTCTTTTCCTAAAATTAAGGATATTACCTTGATCCAGTCGTCTTATTTTTGCTGACCTTCCTGCTGACTGGTTTTCTCCTAGTTTGTTCAGGAAATATGCAAAGTTTTCGCTGATCCTACCTTCTTCAAGTCTCCTGTTCATTAGATTTCTCTCAGTCAGTAT